AGTACATGCAGATTTTTTCCAACCAACAGACGTGGTCAAATCAAACTCGTACAAACTGACACAGCGAAAGGAATGTTGTATACCTCCCTACTGAATCGCTAGATGCACCCGAACGCCTACACGCCCAGAGCCCCCGCTAATTGGCGTGTCATCACCCCATTGGTCAGGTTTTTACAGATTGAAAAAAGTCAAGAAAAGCAGAAAAAAGAAACCTGGCTAGATTTAGTATATTTAGAATATGTAAAACCGGCTACATTAAGTTTCCTGGCTTACATTGACTTCAGCTGAACCATACAGACAACATCGTGCCAAGTTAAAAAGATTGCACCGGTATCCTCATCATACCCCACTAATTTGAGCCATTCATTCCATCTCACGGTCCCAGGGATCTTAAGAAGTTCACTCAATGAAACGGTTTTCCGCAACAACCATATGGCAACACCTAGACAATTGACCTTCCTCTGCCACATTTGAAGCTTAAGATGAGACAAGGCGGCAAGACCAACAGCGCCATCCTGTTCCTCAATGATATGAAAGTTGTCAAAATCATTCATGTTCATACCATGAGGCCGCTTGATCACGGTAAGGTTCTGCTTGCGCAAATCAAACTCAAGTATATCATTTCCCTTATGCTTAGCCGGCCAGTACAGGGAATTACCTACAAGGGTGCTAGTACTGTGACCAAATAGAGTGTCATCTGAAGCCTCTGTCAAGATGGAATTGCCCCATGTGTCAGTCTCAGAGGAGTAAACTCCGGCGATGAGTAGTTGATAATCATACATGGAGTACATGGACATGAAGACCAGCTTGAATGGGCTTTGAGTGGCACACGCCGTGTACATGGTTCTGGTCTCTGGCAGCGCAGACCACTGCCGCCTTGAAGTAGATTTTGTTTAACTCCGGCGGCAAGGACAGGCGGTGCTGGTTGTTGGTGATAGGATCACACACGATGAGCTCTTGCAAGTCTTTGACGAGGACGCGGCCTTGGCGGCAATCGAGGACCTCGGAGTGGCTGTAGCATTGTCCAAGGGAGAAGAGCCCAGGGGGTGTGCGGTCGGGAGCAAGGGCCGGGCCGGGCCGGGCGTGAACATGACCTGTTGGCCACCGCAATGGATGAAGCCGAGGAGGGGCGGCTTGCCGTGGTGTGCATAGAACTGGCGGAGAAACTTGGAGTCGACCAGGATGCTCCGCCACTCTGCTTGCTGACGGCAAGGGCGCGGGGGATCGAGTATAGGTCCGGGGGAGGCGGAGAAGGATCTCCCAGAGCATATCTTGATTGTCCGGCAGGGGGCTCCGGCGAGGTGCCGTCGACCTCCTCGCTGGCTTGGATCTGGGGACGGTTGCGCTTGCGGAGGCACCTGCGGGTCACTCGGTCGGCCTCCTCGCTCACCTGGATTTGGGAACGGAGGCGCTTACAGCTGCTGGGGCTGGCATCTATTTGGGGACGGAGCCCCACGCTGCGTCGGCGGCTGGGCATTCCTGCGCCGCCCTCGCCGGGGTGGAGGCGGAGACCTAGATCGCTGGCTAGACGGGGAAGAAGGGACGCACTCGGGACAGTTGGGTACGGGTGTTTTTTTTTTCTTCCGTCTGCTGCTATGATCGATGCCCGGTTGGGTTTTTATTTTATTTTATTTTGCAAGTTAGAGCAAGGTTAATAGTAAAGCCGGCTGTCGGCTCTATAGTAGAGCCATGTCACCTGCATCCTGTATTTGAAAAGGTTCATACAGTAGAATGGCTGTAGTGTTGGCTATACATTTAATGCATGCATGCTATGCTAGGCGAAGGAAAGTAACACGATTGGCTGGGAGGAGCTGAACGCCGGCCGCAGCGCTCGCATGGGCTGCATGCAGGCTCCTTTTCCTCGTTGCTTGTGCTATCGCCCGGCGACTCGCGAAGCGCCCGCTTGGTCCTTTCTTCTCGCTTCTCTTTCTTCCAGCTATGACTTTGCTGATGTGGAAGATGATATAGCCTGCTGACTAGTCTCTATTGTACTTGCTCTTAGAGTGTTCAATCAAGTTAAGGCGTAGTTTTGTTATATCTTCATCAGGCTTGAAAGCGTACACGACCAGAGCATCCATCTTGGTATTTTGACACTGTCATGCTTCATTTGTACTGTGTTTTACATTGTGGAAATATGAAATGTTTGTGAATTACTCGTATAAAAGATGCTGGACTACCCGCCTCCAGGAGCTCAATGAGGGCGAAGAGAGTCTCGCAGCCGTCCGTTGCCGGGTGGCTTGCGGCGGAGCCTCTCGGGGTGGCTCCGGGCCGTACGATCTACCCGAACAGCTCGTACCCGGGCAATCCAGCTGGAGGGTGCAAGACGGGTGGACCGTCGGGCACGTCTGGTCCACTCGTCATTGGACGGTGCCCGCAGCTGAAAGGCGCCCGCTCAATGGTCTAGCAGAGTCTGTCTGGGAGGTCCATGACAAGTGGACCGCGTGCACGCCTAGGGCCACCGCCATTGGGCGGCGCCTGCAGTTAAAAGTCCCCAATCCGATGGTCTGCTTTGGCCCGCCTGGGAAGTCCATGACGGGTGGAACGCCGGGCATGTCCGGTCCACTCGTCATTGGATGGTGCCCGCAGCTGAAAGCCGCCCGCCCACTGGTCTGGCCGAGCCTGTCTGCGAGGTCCATGACAGGTGGACTGCGTGCAGGCCTGGGGCTACCGTCATTGGGTGGCACCTGCAGCTGAAAGCCGCCAGCCCGATGGTCTACCTGGGCCCGCCTGGGAAGTCCATGACAGGTGGACCGCCCAGCGCCCCCGGGCAATCATCGATCAATGGGTGGCATTAGGCGCACCACCAGTGATGCCCCGCGCACTGTTTGTCGCGCGATAGGGAGGTCAGGCCGACTTGGCGGAGTCTTTCTGGTCGGGCGGGCCGACGTCCGTTGCAGGGTGGCTACCGGCCGGAGCCTCTCGGCGCGGCTCCATGTTGTTCGATCTACCCGGTGCACCCAATGGATCCGGCTGGGAGGTCCGTGACATGTGGATCGCCTAGCGCCCGTCGCTCTTTCCCACCAGCCGCTATTTTCCTAGCCCGCTATTTAAAACATTGGATGTAATGGACGAGATGATGCACTTGGCTTGTAACATAAATAAATGAAGCAATGGTTGTATAGTGGTCTCGAGTATGAAACAATCTGTGGTGCTTACCGAGTACTTCCAGGCAGAAAGAAACATCTAATAACCACTACCTCTGTCCTTAATATTAGACGTTTTTGTAGTTCAATGTTTTTGTAGTTCAATTTGAACTACAAAAATGTCTCATGGTAAGGGACGGAGGGAGTAGCAGAGTAGCATCCTACTGCGATGTCCAAGATATTTTGCTTCAGCTGGGAATTCTTATACATGATATTTTGCTTCAGCTGCTGCTGCTGGGTTTTCTGAAATGCTCAATCTTTTGTGCTGGGAACAACAGTTTCCCTCATATGAACTCTTGCCATGGATTTCATAAAGACGAATAAAAGCTGGTGTATGCCACCTGCAAATTCCTAAAACTAAGTTTCTTATGAACACATATTTTACTAGATTTGTTTTTGCCGAAACATATTTGTTCAAATCTGGTAGAATCTTCAGGTACAGGTTTGGAAGATGGAGAACCTGAACAGCCGAACAAATGTTTATGCATTTGTTGCACTCCATCCTTTTTAGGTACGAGTAATTTTGAGTAGTAAGGGCATGTACAATGGAGGCAGTACCCTGCTACTGCCCCATCTACCAACAAGATAAAGAAAATCTGAAGCTACATGCATTACAAAAGTTACCCAACGCATGGGGTGGTCTCATGTATTTTACTGGGTCCCATGATGACTCTGCTATCATCAACTTTATTTGCATGTAGATTGATTTTTCCTCACAGCACATTCTCTCCCTTCCCTTTCTCTCATGGAGGACCACACTTTTTGGCTGAAGAAGCTAGCTCCTCTGCAAGCTACACCAAGCCTCTGCAAGCTATAGTCTTTTCTATCAATTTTCTCCACGGAAGCATTCATCCAACATGGAATCATGGGGCATGTGTCCAAGCTGGACCATTGGCCATGCCCTAAAACAGAATGAAGCCATTTGCTAATCTTCCTCTTAACTTTTATCAAGTCATCACCGATGACGACGACAAAGGCTACACCCCCATTCTTTATCGGCAGGTGGCAGTTGCATGTGCCAGTTGCTCTAGTGCCTGCTAGCGCATCAATTGTCGTGGAAAAATGAATTCCACCTATGACTGTGACATCCCGCCATGTGAGATTTGGCCCAATCCTTTCGCATTAGCAGCAGTAAACATACGTAGCATAGGGTAAATGCACATCGTCATCAGTAGGAAAGAGGAAGATATGGTCCATGCTTTCGGTGCTGCTCGTATCGAAATGCTGAAAGAAATGTCTTAGAATGTTGAAACTGAAAGCAACCCAATTATTTTCTGTTTATTATTGTGATGGGGAGAAAGCAACGCAAATGAGTGGTTGGTTGCAAATGGACAAAGACAGGGCCTATGACGTAATCCACGGCATGTAGATGTAGAACGTACTACAAACTTAGTTTTACCAAACTTAGTATTACCATATGTGGGTTTATATTTTCTAACATACTACAAACTTTTGAATTGGGTCTTGCTAATACTCTCTCCGTTCCAAAATAAATGACCCAACTTTATACTAACTTTAGTACAAAGTTGGGTCATCTATTTTGGAACGGAGGGAGTACGTACTTATGTCATTATATATCAAACATAAGCTTGTGTGCATGTGCGTTTGCTGACCGGCATAGATTGACCGCAAGTCAAGGTCTTCGATGTGGAAAGCACAGAACCACTTGGAAAAGCTTTCCACTAATGCCGTTAGGGATCTCTCCACTAATCGACAAAAATATTACACCGAAAGCACCACTTGGAAGCTGGAGCCTATAAAAAATGACCCTTCTCACCATATTAAGATGGGTGAATGGATCGATAAGATATCAGCCCAAAGCTAAAGCATGCACTGACATCTCTGTCCCAAACATACATGGCCTCACTTGGATTTCCATCCATATCCATACCCATTCTCTTCTTGATCACCCTGCTGTCCACTGTACACACATCTTCTTCTCCTGGTCCAAGCAAGAGCAATGGTAGCGACACTGATCTTGCCGTCATGCTGGCTTTCAAAGCACAGCTCTCCGACCCTCTCAGCATCCTTTCCAGCAACTGGACTACTGGTACGAATTTTTGCCACTGGTTTGGTGTCACATGCAGTCGGCGCCGGCAGCGCGTCACTGCTTTGAAACTGCCAGGCTCCCCCCTCCATGGATCAATCACTCCTCACCTTGGTAACCTCTCTTTCCTCTCCTATCTCAATCTCAACAGTACAAATCTCACGGGATCCATCCCCGATGATTTAGGACGGCTTCATCGTCTTAAATACCTATATCTCGGATTCAATGGCCTATCAGGTAGCATCCCAACCACCATAGGAAACCTCACAAGGCTTCGTGTTCTTTCCCTATATTATAGCCATCTATCTGGTTCAATCCTGGTAGAACTTCAGAACCTGCAGAGTCTTGGCTACTTCAGTGTCTTCAGGAATTACCTGAGCGGCTCAATACCCACCTATCTATTTAATAATACCCCTCTGATAACTCACCTAGACATCGGTAACAACAGCCTGTCCGGACAAATACCATCTTGTATTGGCTCCTTACCAATGCTTGAGTTCCTTGACCTTCAAGTGAATCATTTCAGCGGCCTAGTACCTCCATCCATATTCAACCATTCTAGATTAACTCAAATCTGGCTTGGACTGAACCACAATTTAACTGGTCCAATCCCTAACAACGAAAGTTTTAGTCTACCAGCGTTGCAAGAGATTGGCCTGGATAGCAATAGATTCACCGGTGAGATTCCATCGGGGCTCTCCTCTTGTAACTACCTCCAAAGTATCTCCTTCAACCGGAATTCCTTCGAAGGTGTTGTGCCAACATGGCTGGGCAAGCTTTCTCATCTCAGTTTCCTTTCCTTGGGTAGGAATCACTTTGTTGGTCCAATTCCTGTTGCACTTAGCAACCTCACTCAGCTAGGTACACTAGCCATACCGGCCTGTAACCTGTCAGGAGCCATTCCAGAAGAGTTTGGACAATTGGACCAACTCACTGTGTTGGATGTCTCAGACAATCAACTAGTCGGACCCATTCCTGCATCTCTAGGTAACCTGTCTGAATTAGCATACTTGCTTTTAAACAAAAACATGTTCCTTGGATTGGTACCAGGAACAATTGGTAGTGCCAACTCTATGGTTCGTATTGATATTTCAGAGAACTGCCTAGAGGGGAATCTTAGCTTCTTATCCAGTTTTTCTAATTTTAGAAAGCTCCAGTTTATTCACATCTCTTCAAATAATTTCACCAGTGGCATCCCTAACTATGTGGGGAACCTGTCGAGCCAGCTGCTGATTTTCAGTGCATCTAAGAACAATTTTGTTGGTGAACTTCCGCCTATGATTTCAAACCTAACACGCCTTGAATGGCTAGATTTTTCAAAGAATCAGTTGGATAGTAAGATTCCAGAATCCATCATGATGATGGAGAATCTTCAGTGGCTTGACCTGGATGGAAATCACTTTTTTGGGTCCATCCCATCTCAAATTGCAATGCTCAAGAATATAGGACATTTGTTCCTCTATAACAATAAATTGTCTGGTCCAATACCAGAGGGGATTGGTAACCTGACCAAGTAGAATACCTAATACTGTCCGACAACCAGTTATCATCAATTATCCCATCAAGTTTATTTCATCCTGACAGTGTCCTCCAGCTAGATGTGTCTCAAAACTTCTTGACTGGCACATTACCCGTTGACATGGGCTATTTGAAGCAAATTTACAGCATGGACCTCTCTTCCAACCTCTTGGTTGGTAGAATCCCATATTCGATTGGACAGCTCCAAATGATAGCCTACTTGAACTTGTCACACAATTCATTTCATGATTCACTTCCAGAATCTTTCGGCAAGCTAACCAGCTTGGAAAGTTTGGACCTATCACATAACAATCTCTCTGGATCAATACCAAAGTACCTAGTCAATTTCACCATATTGGCTAGCTTGGACCTGTCTTTCAACAAGCTACATGGTCAAGTACCAGAAGGTGGTGTCTTTTCAAATATTAGTCAACAATCCTTGATGGGAAATTCTGGGCTTTGTGGCGCTTCACGTTTAGGACTTCCAATGTGCCCAAGTAACTCTCAAAGAACTATTAATGGCCACATGCTGAAAATTTTGCTCCCTGCTATCATCGTATCAATTGGACTTGTAGCTTTCAGCATATATGTAACAGTCAGAAAGAATATAAAGAAGCAGCAAGGGATGTCAACTTCTCCCGGTATGGTTGACATGCCCACCCATCACCTGGTCTCGTACCATGAGCTTGTTCAGGCAACTGATAATTTTAGTGAGAGCAACCTGCTAGGGTCTGGAAGTTTTGGAAAAGTTTTCAAGGGCCAGCTAAGCAATGGTTTGATTGTTGCAATCAAAGTTCTAGACATGCAGCTAGAACAAGCGATGAGAAGCTTTGATACAGAGTGTGGCGTACTACGGATGGCACGGCACCGCAATCTAATGAGGATACTCAATACCTGCTCCAACTTGGAATTTAGGGCATTGGTGCTTCAATACATGCCCAACGGCAGCTTAGAGATGCTCCTGCACAACTCTCAAGGTACAACACCATTGGGATTCAGTGAGAGACTAGGCATCATGCTTGATGTGTCGTTGGGAATGGAGTATCTGCACCACGAACACTACGAGGTGGTCTTGCACTGTGACTTGAAGCCTAGCAATGTGTTGTTCGATGAGGACATGACAGCACATGTGGCAGACTTTGGCATTGCAAGACTGTTACTAGGTGATGACAGCTCTACAATCACTGCGAGCATGCCTGGAACACTTGGCTACATGGCACCAGGTACTGTTACTATCTAGCAATTTTCTTGCTCAATCTACTTCCTATTGAACCACTGAGTAATTAAGTTAATCGGGCATGCCTTAATTTCAGAGTATGGGGCTCAGGGAAAAGCTTCACGAAAAAGTGATGTATTCAGCTTTGGAATCATGCTCTTTGAAGTCTTCACTAGAAAGAGACCCACCGATGCGTTTTTTGTCGGAGATATAAGCCTGAGGCAGTGGGTTGTTGAGGTGTTTCCTGCAGAACTTTTCCGTGTTGTGGATGATCAACTACTACAAGGGTCTTTTAGCTGCAGCACAGAAGGCTTTCTTGTGCCGATATTTGAGTTGGGTTTGGCCTGCACTAGCGACTCTCCTGACCAAAGGATGACAATGAGCGATGTGGTTGTGAAGCTGAAGAAGATCCAAGTGGCCTACAATAAATCAATAGCGGCCGCACGGAATGAAGCCAGTCATTGACCAACATTGCTTAGTTCGTCCTGTTATATATCAGAATAAAGGGCGAAATCAATGCAACCGAATTCAAGATGTCAAAAAGCTATGATGCAGCTGTTAAGATATGTCACATGAATAGACTAGAACCTTCTAGATCCTATCACCGTACATGGTTTGGTTGAGATAAACCTTAACCGTCTTCCATGTAATCCCTAGTATTCCCTATGTATCAAGTCCAATAACCTCTGGATGCAATTTCCTGCTTGTATGCTATTACGGGATAAGCACCGCAATATAAATACATTGTATGCGGCGTCCTGTGGGGCGTGAGACGCTTCCTGAAATCCTACATGGTAATAAAGCACAGGTTCTTCCTCTTCCATCTAGCGATCACTACCCCGATCTGCACCCACGGCCACCACATCAACTGCCGCCGGGGCTGCCCTCGGAGAAACTGACCAGAGGAAAATCACCTCATGTGGAAGGACTAGATCATGCCACTAACCGGCACTGACGCCGCGTCGTCAAAGACGGTGTCACAAACAAAAGAAGACGACGGGCCAGGTACCCAACCTCCTCTACGCTGCTCAGCTAACGCATGACCAGCAGGTGCTTTGCTAGCTGCTGACCCCCCTCTCCAAAGAGGTGATCATGCAAGCCATGCGCAAGGAGAGCGCCCCGGCGACCTGGACTGTGATCAAAACCATGTTTGCATCCTAAGCACGCTCTTCGATTACAAACTTGAGTCACCATCGCCAATACAAAAAAGGGTAGCATGTCCTTTAATAAGATTAGAACCCATGTGCGCTATTAAAAACAGTGAATATATGTCGCTTTTCCTAACCTCTTCACCAAGCGGTGTTTTTCTAATGGATGGAAAATGAGCTCACCAAATGGAGGGGTGGCCGAATAAGCTACAAACTCATTGTATGAGTGAGCTCATTTTTCCTGTGAAAACTAGCAATTTCACAGGCAAAAGTACGATGGGTCAAGTACCACGTCAGAAATACCAACTTTTTTTTGCGAGGAAGAAATACCAACTTTTAACACATAAAACCGTCCAGTTCCAGTCACTTTCAATCAAGCAGCAAATATCTGAGTAAATGATGGCGTGTATGAACCACTACACACAGCAGCAACCTCAGTTTCAGCTACATCAAGTTGGGTCGTGGAAAAGAAACGTAACAAAACAAACCGTCATAGAAACAATGAGCCAGGAGCGTTTACACATAGGAAACTAAAAACACCACCACAGTTTTAAAAATTGGGGTTCAGGAGTGAGAACTTACATAATTCATTTTAGACATGAGCGAGGTGATAGAGATGCTGGAAGATGAGCCGATGGCCTGCAAATGTCGTCTAAGACATTCTTCTGCGAGCAGGGGCATACCCATGTAGATGATTCCTACTATTTGTGATCTGTCGTCCCAGCTGATAGTAATTCAGAGGAAGGCAAATTATTGATCTGTGATGTTGTAACATGGAAATCGAACTTAAAAGAACCATCACAGAAACGACAAGCCAGGAACACTTACAAAATCCTAGACAGCAGCAACAACCTCAGTTTCAGGGTTCTAGTTCCTACAGAATCATTCATTTAAACCAGCTCAGAAACTCTCACCGTTACACAAAAGCACCAAGTACATGTGATACTTTGGGGCTGAAACTCTCCTGGGTCAAGAGAAGCGCGACCACTCCCTGGATTAGCTATTCAAAAGCATCTTGCTACATAGAACCTTGCTAGACTAAGGCACGATAAGTTTTTTTAGATAACATTATAACACTGCCACCACCACATTGATGCGATGTGACAAACTCGGTGACAACTAACAATTGCAGCGACCCTTTGTTCACCTGGAGAAAATAAATTTGTTAATCTGTTAGTAACCCGATACAGATGAATATACAATCTAATAGTAGTACCTATATAACCGTGTATGAATAACATGTGTGTACAAATTCAAGATCAGCTCAGCAACATAAAGAAGACCTATATCATATCCGCTCAAGAAAAAGAAGAGATGTATCACATTACTGGCTATATCGCCTAGGAACACCAATGACAACAAAATAAACCCTTCAGCCTTTTCACATGAATTTGTTGGGTGACAGAGTTGAATAATGTGACTGGTGTTTGTAATAACAAGCTGGGCTACTAATATATTGCTTTCAACTTATTAGATTCTGGAACAGCTACCAAGAGAAAACTCTGAGCATACAACATTTGAATCATCTGGATATCATTTATGGTTGAAAAGGAGTCACTTTTTACTTGGCAACACCACCATTTTTATTGTTTGTCTATGTTATTAGCAAGCGTGAACCACTATATAGCTGAATGGACAGTAGTTTGAGGGTGCATGCACCCACAGTGGCCGAAAAATATTTCTTCCAAAGAGAAAACAAACAATTCAAATCCCACAAAAGCATATTTAGAAGATCTTCTTACCTGGTGAACCGTTTCAGCACATTAGCACATCAAGGCAGATAGTCATCCTATGTATCGCCTGCCTCACAACATTTCAGCTCTATCATAACCACGAGCAATGGTTGTGCCTAGAAGCATAAGCATGAAAAGACAACAGTGAGTCTGTACATATATGAATCGAAAAATATAAGAAAAACAACTCACTTTTTTTATCTTTAAATAGCTGACTTCTCGTAACTATATATGTTGCTTGTTGCAGCAAATATTCTTGAAAGCAGTGTAATGTATACATAGCAACCTATAGCAACCTCAAATGAAGAATTTAGCTCTCTCCAAAAAATAAGAATTTAGTTTATAAGAAAGCGAGGCAGAGTCTAGAATTTATGTCATGTAAACGTATCCCTCCTCATGTGAATTTGACATTTGAATTTACATTATGACTAATTTCATTTGATATTTGACTTGCTACCTCACAAGGATGAAGGCAACTACTCCCTCCGTCCCATAATATAAGACATTTTTCAAGCTAAGATAACTTGCAAAAATGTCTTATATTGTGAGACGGGTTTGAGTATATTGGACGATAACATAAAGTAAGGGTGTATTAAATGAAACCATAAGGATATAAGTCCGTTAATCTAGCAAAGTTATTTGAGCATCCATGTACGGAACATAACAAGATTAGGTTACTCCTACTGTATGAGGAATAAGAACGAACAATCACCTGGCATATAGAAACTCTCGAAAGAATGATAGTATTCTTTTGTGGGGGGGTCACAAACTTTTCTAGATTGCATCAACTTCAATTGAACCATATAGACACCGTCGTCCATATATAAAAGTATTCCATCAGTATCCTCAGCATATCCCAGTATAAATAACTTTGCCTTCCTTCCTTCAATCTGAGCAGGTAACCCATGAATGTTATGCATTTCAATGGTCTGCCACAACAACCATTTGTTAACACTCTGAGAATTGACCTCCTTTTGCCACATTTGAATCGTATGGCCATTGTGAGACAATATGGCGAGACCAACAGCACCATCCACTGCCTGAATGATCTGATGGCTGCCATTGCGGTAGCAGACATCATTTGTAATGGGAGGCGCTCTCATCACAGCTAGGTTGTGCCCATCCAAATCAAACTTAAGTATGTAATCTCCACCTCTGCACAGCCAGTAAAGTGCATTACCAATAAGTGAACCATAACTCTCAGTATGATAAAACTTAGGTGGAGTCGGTGTTGAGATGAGGTCGCTCCATACACCGGTCTCTGAGGAGCAAACATGTGCAAAGGCGGGCTGTGGACCTTGAATGGGCTCGAGTGGCAGCTTCCGTGCACGTGGTCATGGTCAGCAGCAGCGCAGAGCACCGTCCCGGTGATGAAGCTGTCCGTTTTCAACTTGGGCGGAAAGGGCACATAGAGCACCGTCCCGGTGATGGGTGCAATGACAATAAGCACATTGCGCAGAAAGTTTGCGCAGAAAGTTTATGACGAGGACGCGGCCGTGGCGGCACCCGAGCAGTCGGGCCGCCGACCCGGTGACACCGCAAATGCTGTGGAGTTGCAGCTGGAAGCGCCGACCAGGGATATGATTGGGAGGGTCCAGGACGGGTTTGAACACGATACCATCCACGCCTTCCACGAAGAAACCGAGGATTGGCAGCTTCCAGTGGTGCTGGCAGAAGCGGAGCCGGAAACTGGGGTCCGTGACGGCGCATCGCCACCGCTTGCAGACGGCGGAGGCGCGTGGAAGGGAGGAGGGCTCCGGCGGGAGACGGAGGAGGATCTCCCACAGGAGGTCGTCGTCTTCAAGCGGACTGCCGCGGCGGTGACTGCGGCGGGTCAGTCCGAATGTCTCCTCACCCGCGTGGACCTGGGGACGGAGGAGCGCGCTGCGGCGTGGAGCCACTCCGGCTACCTCCTCGCTCGCGTGGGCCTGGGGATGGAGGCGCGGGCTGCGGCGGCGGGCCACTCCGTCGCCGTCTTCACTGGCGTGGATGTGGGGATGGGGATGGAGGCGCGTGCTGCCGCGGAGGGCCACTCCTTGGCCCGCCTCAATCGCGTGGGTACGTGGATTTAGGCGCGTGCGCGTGCTACGGCGGCAGGCATCCTCGGCCGCGCTCATCTCGCCGGCGGCGGCGGCGGCAAGACCTAGCCTTTTTGTAGTGAGGCAGAGGAAGACGCCGCAGACGCAGAGTGGTCGGCTTCAGGATTCCATCGTGCCTAGTTGTAGCGTTGGTTGGGCCCCTAATCGACCGACCGGCCAGAATAGTAAAGTGGTATTGGGCCCCCATTCTATTCTTGTTGCCACCACGCCAAAGAATGCACTCAAAAAAATAAAAAATAAAAATTGATGATGATTCCCATGGCCACATCCACATCCAATTTCAATTTCGATTTCAATTTCTGAGGAGTCAACACATACATGTGTATCATTTTTATCTATGCATACATATATGTATATGTTATCAGGCAATGCACTTCATGATTAATGTGTAATTATTTTCATATCCCACATGATTTTCACCATCTGACGGAGAAATGGTTTTCAAGCTTATGCATAAACCGCAATTTGGTAGGTACGGTGTGGGTGACTCTCTGTGTGTATGTGCACGCGCTTGGTTTTAGGCAACATGTATAGTTACGCTATATGCTAGGAATGAATGTTGGGCAGCAGCAAATGCAGCTGCCAAAGGAACCGAACTTACTACAAAGATCTGGTGGTGCATACCCAACTGACAAAACATGCCACTGTCTAAACATTATGAGCTCGATGTGTGCACCACTCGATGCAGAATCCGGGGTTATTCTCCTTTTTTTTTTAAAAAAAAGAAGTATAGCAGATAAGCACTTTGTTTCTAGGTGAGTTTTCCTAACACCAAAGCTTCTTTTCTGCTACAACCATAGGAGTATTTCCAGTAAATATATATGGATATGGTTCCTGTCAGATTGTTTCCAGTCAGTGCATACGGATGATAAGGTTCGATCTTAATCCAACAATGTGAATCAAACTCACGTGTTACCAATACTACGTTATCAGTGTACCTCCATATGATAAAATAAAGTGAAATGACTTTTTATGAAGGACATGTGTTTTTAGAATAATGGTTGGATTCTCTTTATATCTGGCAAGATATGATGTTATATCTGTCCGACTGGAGAGATGTGACACTGTTCAAACGTTATGTGTTTTAGTTTTTTTCCAGACAATGGTAGATAGGTTTTGAAATTACAAGCTATCAGATGTTTTTCGGTGTCCTGTAATTGCTGCCTTTAACAGAGGCAGTTTGCTTCTCAATGAGGTTTCCTAACACCAACCAAAGTTTCTTGCCCAAGTTAGAACTTGCCGTGGTAATTTTCCGACAATAGTATTCGTAGGGTGACGCATGTACTAGGAATCTAGATGGGCATGCACACGAGAAAAGTTTTACCCAGGTTCTAGGCCCTCGGTGTGAGGATTGCCATTGTGTGTGGATTGATCTTAGCCTTGTAGGACAGTTAGGATATGTGTTGCGCAGAAGGGGCATATAGAGTAGGGAGAGGGGGTGGGGGTATCCCCGTCTCGCCTCATATAGGTGCATAGAGGTTAGGGTTACATGAAATACATTACAATCTAGCTATTCTAAGGGTGACGATGCACCTCCTAAGCCAGTGGACACCGAATATGGGCTTGGGCCACCCCTTAGCTGATGGGCCTAGTTTATCCTATGTGGTTAGCCTTGTGGCATGGCATCATCAGTAGCCTCGAGTCCTTGAGGGGACATCCTGTACCGCACGATCTACGCGTTGGAAAAGAGGGCAGCGCGCACCACCTCACTACACATGCACGACCTTGGGTCTGCCCAGCTGCGGTGCGGGGCTCCTTTTTTTTGTATCTTCTTGTTTTTTGCTTTTTAAATAAGTTTGGGATTTCAAAAAAATAGAATTAAAACAAAGGGTTCACTAATGCTAAATATGTTCACGCATTTTAAAAAATGTTCACAATTCCTGTTAAATATATTTTTTTGGTTTTCACGAACAAATTTTTAATTTTGATGAACATTTTTGTATTTAATGAACAAAATTTAAATTCTATGAGAATTTTTCGAATTTGATGAACAAAATTTGAGTTCAAAATATTTTTTGAATTCTATAACATTTTAATATTATGAACAGTTTTAAAAAAATGATGAACATTTTTAAATATGATGAACATTTATTGAATTGGATGAACAAATTTTGAGTTGCCAAAAACGTCCACTGACTTGAAAAAATGTTCATTGATTTGAAAAATGTTCCCAGCTTTCAAAAAAATTCCTTTAATTTGGACACAGAAAAGAAAAAAGAAAAATAAAAAGGGAAAACCGAAATTAAAAGAGAAAGGATAAAAATCGAAAGAATAAACAAGAAAAAAGAAAAATCGATTTGGGGATGTTCTAGAACCTTCCCTAACCGGAAATGAGCACTTGGGTTGGGCCAAGGGACCTAGTGTTGGGAAACATTGGATGGAAAACAAAAAAAAATTCTACGCACACGCAAAATCTATCCATGGAGATGCATAGCAATGAGGGGGAGAGTGTGTCTACGTACCCTCGTAGACCGTAAGCGGAAGTGTTTAGTAACACGGTTGATGTAGTCGAACTTCTTCGCGATCCAACCGATCAAGTACCAAATGTACATCACCTCCGCGTTCATCACACGTTCAGCTCGGTGGCGTCCTCGCCTTCTTGATCCAGCAAGACGAGCCAAGTAGTGGATGAGTCCCGTCAGCACGACGACATGGTGACGGTGATGGTGATGCTATCTCCACAGGGCTTCGCCTAAGCACTACGAAAATATGACCGAGGGACAAAACTATGAAGGCCCCCCTCCTACATATATATAGGTGGGGGAGAGGGGAGCAGCCAGCAGGCGCCCCAGGTAAGGCTGAATCCTACTTGGGCTCCTGCCTTGGCATTAACACTGAGGTATTCAAAAGCATCTTGCTACATTAGAACATAGATAAACCAAGGCATATGCATTCAGTAAGTTTCTTCAAATAACAGTTTTTTCAACGCTGCCGACCACATGATGCGCGACAAAATCAGGGACAACAAAAAACTGCAGCAGCCCTTTCTTCATATGGAGAACATAAAAGCATTAACCTGCCAGTGACCCAATACAGATAAAGATAATATCTAACACAAGCACCCGTGCACAAACTCATGATCACTTTATCATTTTAAAATCATCACTTCTGCAAGTAACCTGGTGGAAAGAAACTTGTGAATGGGTAACAATAATTTGGAGAATGGGTCACATTTAGTTGCCTGGTTTGCATTGACTTGGGTTGAACCATATAGACACTGTCGCGGATACCTAAAAAGATTACATCGGTAGCCTCATCATACCCCACCAATCGAAGACATTCCCTCTTTCTCCCAGTTCGAGGAGGGATGTTAATAAGGTTGCGCAATAGAACAATCTTGCACGACAACCATATGGCATCACCTCGATGATTAACCGTTCGCTGCCATAGTTGAAGGGTATTGTAGGACAACACGGCAATACCAACGGCACCACCTTCTGCCTGGATGATCTGGAAGTTGTCGGAATAATTCACACCAGGAGGCCCCTTTATCACGGTAAGGTTTTGCGTGTCCAAATCAAACTCAAGTATGTTGTCTCCCCAATTGTGTGAAGGCCAGTAAAGGACATTACGAACAAGGGTGCTAGGACCAAAATAAACACACTTATTATGTGAAGCCTCTATAGAGATGAGACTGCTCCATGTGTTAGTCTCCGAGGAATAAACACGGGCGATGGATGACCCATAAATAGATCTGTATTCTCTGTACATGGACACCAAAACCACCTTAAAGGGGCTCGCATGGCATGCGCCATGTACGTGGCCCTGATCGCGGGCATCGCAGAGCACCGCCCCGTTGAACCACTCCCTCTGTAACTCCCAAGGGACGGCCACGGGGCACTGCTTGCCGGTGATGGGGTCACACACAATGACCTCTCTCCATAAATGGTCTCCAATGAGAACAAGGCCGTGGCGGCACCCAAGCACATAGTTCTCAATGGGGAAGCGGAGCACGCTGTCATCGTCGTAGTGGCCGCCATATCGTACAAGGTCGAAGCGCACAG